CATACTATATATAAAATTGCAGATCAGAGAATGGAAACGCTTTTTTAAAAAAAAAATAAGAGTTGGATTGTGTGGGCTATTTGGAAGCCGTTCAGTGGGGCAATATAACTTTTATTTTCAGAAGCTTATGGATTGAACCCCGCCCAGGCTTCCAGTTCCTAAGAAAACTGCAGAAGAAGCCCCGCCAAGTTCCCTCACCAGGGCAATAAAGGAGTAATCCTCCGCATCCCGGTTTCATTCTAAGGAAGCAGGAGGCTGGCGTGGTCTTTGCTGTCCTCACAAATGAGGTTCCCTGAGCCGAGGGTGCTAGCCACACAGGCCTGCACAGGTAGCTGGGCCCACTGCAGTCACAGTGGCCCAAGAAGAACGTTCACAACTCTGGGGACAGAGCCGGTCATGGTATGTTGAGTTGAGGGGACAGTTATGTTACAGTCTTGATGGCTTTTGATGGCTGCTCAGAAAAGCTGAACTATAAATCGATCCAGTTTTCACACACACACACACGCGCACGAAATATTTTCTTTACATTTAAAATTGTGTGCGAGTAGGGGAGGGTGTTATAGCTGTGGGGGGGGGGGGAATTAAACCGTAGGAAATGGTAAAAACAAGATCTGGCCTATTCGTTCCTGTTGTTGACAGCTCAGAAGGTAAATGAAGGGGTGAAAGGGGGGCGGGCGTGGAGGGGTAGACGGTAGAGCACACAGAGGAGCCCGGGGAGTGGGGGGTCCCCAAGCTGCAGGAGGCTTGAGAAGCCATCGAGTCAGCCCCCAGGCTGCACAGAGGAGAGAAGGAAGCAGGCCTGTTGATAGGCCTTCGGGCTAAGCCCTGCTCCTGGAAAACCTTTGCACTCAAAGTCCGGTTTGTCAGCCCCGTGTGCAGCCCATCTGCTTCTGGCTGGGTGCTGGCTTGGAGAAGCCAGCGCCTCTACAAGCTGAAACCCAGGTTGAATTCCTGGTTGGCAACCACCAGCAAGAGGCGGGGTTTCCAGGGTTCTGCACAGCGGGTCCCCATCTAACTCACTGGCGCCCCCTCTGGGCGCTGGTGGAAAATCACGCATAATTGTTGCTTTTCCAAACCCAGAGCTGGAGCCCAGCCCAGGGGCCAAGGCTGGGAAAGCAGCGCTGAGAAACGCGGTCAGGTGTGCAGGTTCTCCACTCGACTGGCTTCCTGGGAGGTGCTGGGAATTTCCCCGTTTACTGGCAGAATGATTTTCATTTCTAAATTTCAGAGAAAGAAATGAGAGCGGCATCGCTTCACTGTGGAAGGGAGTTTAAGCTTCTTCCCAGGGGCAGTGGGGAAGGCCTGGAAGAGGGCAAGCTCCAGGGGAAGGTGCCCGGAGGGAGGAAAGGAGGGGAGGGGCAGGGGAGACTGGAGGCAGGAGGCAGGCGGGGGCTGCCCCAGCAGCCAGGGGGGCTGACGTGGCCGGACTGGGGCACAGCAGGGACAGGTACTTGGAATTTTAAGGGAGTAAAGGAGCAAGACTTTGTTGATGGGATGCGTGGGAGCAGGGAGGGAGTTGATAAGGATGATGACTCACAGGTCTGTCGTTGGACAACTGGGCAGCTGTGGCGCTGCACTCGCTGTACTCGGAGAGGCATGGGCCGAGGAGGAGGCAGCGCTTTGGGGAATGAGATAATGAGTTCCCAGATTCAAGGGTTGGGCAACCAGGCTGAGAAGAGCAAAGTGACGGAAGAGGATGGTTCTGTGTACACGTTGGGAAATGTGGAGGCTTTGCATGCAGTCAGGGCACCTAGGGTGGCACTGTTTCCACGGAAAGGCTGGGTCTGTGGGAGGAGGCACAGGTTGGCTGGGCACGCTCACTGCCTCACCCTCGGGGCTCCATCTCCCCATCCTGACCTGAGCGATGCGTGTGGGGTTCTCTGTAACTTACACAGCTCAACGGGGCTTGGTTGGGGGTGTCTGACTGATAAAGGGGTCGAGGGAAACATTCCAGCATGCTTTCTTTTTCATCATGACTAACTAAAATAAGCAGTTTTTTTCCTAGGGATTTTACTAAATAGAAAAAAAAAATGCCCTTCCTTTCTTTTCCTTTTCTTTTTTCTTGGAATCTCTTTTTACAGGGACTTCGCCCCGGGTCTGCATCACACAGCTGGGAATTTGTGTGGGGCAAGGAAGGCCTCGAGGTGTTAAGAGAATTTAAAGCAAATATTTTCCATTTCCAGTGAGAACTTCTGAGGAGCGGGCTTATGTGGGAGAGAGGAGAATTTCAATTGACGTAAAAAAACACTTTCTTAAGGAGCGGGTTTGGAAGACAAACTGTGGAACTGCTTGCAGAATGAACAGAAGCAGACAGCCTTCTCTCAAGTTTCAGGGGAGACCTCCAGGGACCTTGGCTGGAGGTGCCTGGGGACCCATTAGAAGGAAAGTCAGATTTCTGGGTCTTTGAAGTTATCAAACCAAGGCCCAAGCAGAACCCCTCTTTTTGCAGATATTCCAGTGCAGTTTAACTAAAGGACATGGGGAGTAGCACATCATTTTATTTCAGAAATCAGGAGATTGACATTTTAGCCCCAGGTCAGTTTCCGACCCTCCATAACTTAGGGCAAGTCACTTACCTTTGGGGAGCCTTGGATTTCTCACCTGTAAGATGGGTAGGATGGGTACCTCACAAAGTCTTGGGGGCTTCTATGTGATCATGCAAGTAAGTTATCACAGTGCCTGGCACAGAATCAGCCCTCACTAACAGTTATTGAAAACGAGACTGTTAACCATGATGGCTGCCCTACCAACCTCACCGGAGGAATACGTTACTCGAGGAACAAAGCACTTTGAGGAAGTGCTTTTAAGCCTCTTAAGAGCAAAAGGTACTATGTAAAAGCTGTGATGTTATCAATTATTAATAATCGGTTCATAATTACTTTTGCCACAGTATTAAGTGAAAATCCCCGTGGGTGGGTGATGACTGGGAACATGGGAACTATTATTAATGGAGCTGCCAGCTCCTGTTACTAGATCCATTGACAGAACATTTCTCTCTGGGAATCCTTTGACAAATCAGCTGACTTTCCTATTCCCTTGCTGTAAGCACTGCAAATGTGATCCACATGTCCCCTGTGTGGTTCCTGGAGATTAATAACAGAGAAGAGAGGAGGAGCCAGCCCGCCCGGGGACAGAGCCGTGTAGGAACCTTCCTGGTGTCCGGGCTGTCCGTGGGGTTAGCTCACGGTATGTGTGTGCGTGTTCTCGCTGGTTCACTTGTTTGAATGTTCCCAGCTTTTCCTAACGGGCACTCCACTGCCAGCAAGAGTTTCTGCTTTGGAACAGGGCAGGGGGATCCCAGTCATGCCCTCCTCCGCCTCCCACTGGAAACAGCTCTGAGGAAGTGCTTGGCCAAGTCAGTGAGCCGTGAGCCGGATGTGATGGGAGGGTCCGCTGCCATCAAAAGGGGCAAAGGGAGATGGGCAGTGCCTAGCGGCAGTGAGGCAGCAAGGAGGGCAGGGAGCCGGGTCAAGGGAAGGGCACGCTGGGAGGGCAGGGCTGACCGGCGGCTGAACCTAAGAGTGGTCAGGATCTGGGGGAGGGGGAAGCCTGCCATGTGCGTTTGACCCAGGAAAGGGACACACAGGGCTCAGCCCAGTAGGAGAGCTTGGGAGGTGTGCTCATTGGATCTGGGCTTTCAGAGGGTTGAGTTGCATGACCTAGAGTTGGTCAGACCCAGGTTCGAATCCCAGCTCTGCTACTTAGTTGACAAGTTGTTCAGTTCTCTGCACGTCCATCTCCCAGTGTGTAACATGGAGACAGCAGTGCCTACCCAGTTGAAAGAAAAATGAGAGAGTGTGAGCAAAGCCTGCATCCCCAGCACACAGAACACTTACTCTGAGCCACACGCTGTCCGAGGGTCGATGGGCAGCAACTCAGTTCCCCTTCAGGGCCGCACTGCAAGCTGCGCATGTTCCTCATCCCCAGTTAACACACGTGGGAGCGGTCGGAGGCACAGAGAAATGAGGTAACTTGCCCGCCATCAGGCCGCCCGGTTAAGTGACAGAGCCCGGCTCTGCGGCCCTGTCTCCACAGCGCCCCTGCACGCCCCGCGGCTGTCCTCATCCCCGTCCCGTTTCTGGGTTTAGGACAGGGAATTCTAACGCACATCTGGCCACTTCCCAGGGCCTCCAGTTATCTCTAGGAATTTGAAGACATTTCCTCAAAACTGATTAAATTCCTGTGGGTTTTTTCCTTAAAAAAAAAAAAAAAAAATCAGGGTGAGTGGACAATAAGGCATTGATCAAAGAAACAGCCGTCACTAAACGTTGGGAATGTCTGTGACCACATGCTCTGAAGAACCCACATGTAATTTTAAGCCGGGCTGATTTTGCTTGTCTGGTGCTTTCTAAGAAGCCACACAGTGAGTCGGAGAAATGTACTGCTGTCCCCCTGGGGGTCTGACGCTGACAGCTCGGCTCCTCGGCCGCTGAAGTGCTAATGAAAAACACTAATTGGGCTTGGCCATCGGCTGGGACGGGACGGGTCCCTTCTGGAGGGGAGCAGGCAGCATCTTTCTCTGTGGTTTCTCCCAGGGCCGCTGGTGGCTGGAAGAAGGAGGCGGGGGGCAGTACAGGAAGTGAGAGGCTGGGGCGGTGCCACCCGTTAGGCCGCCAGGTGGAGGTTGACCCTGACACAACCGTCCCCTGAGCTCCAGGAAGACAGAGCCAGGCCTCCTTGTCACCCCGGCACCCTGAAAGTCGCCCCGCGCCCGGGCTGGGCGAGGCACTCTGCAAATGTTCAGTGAGAGCAGAAGTGCAGGAGTGAATGAGTTCTTGTGTGGCCCACCAGCCTCCGTAGCCATTCCTTGTGCAGCTCCCTGTCTCCACTTGGCTCAGTGCCACCTGCGAGCCGGCCACTCCTCGCCCTGGCCCTGCAGCGCTGTCCACGGTGAGAGTCGGCCGTCCCCACGTGGAGCCTTGACCTCTGCCACTGACCCTGCTCTGCCGAGAGCTTCACTCTGCTTCCCCGAGGTGACCTTCTGTCTTGTCTCCCCACAGGTGTCCTCTCGCTGCCCGCGTACTTCAGCCCCTACAACGGCGGGTCCCTGGGCCAGGACGAGCGCGCCGATGCCTACGCACAGCTGGAGCTCCGGACCCTGGAGCAGTCCCTCCTGGCCACCTGCGTGGGGAGCATCTCCGAGCTGAGTACGTGGGGCACCCCCTCCAGCTGGCTCCCAGGGAGAAGGCGAGGATGAGGCTGGCTTCTGGGTTCCGGCCTCCTCTGCCTCACGCTTCTTGCCTTCCCTGGAAGCTCGGCCCTCCCAGGCCAGAGGTTGCCCACTGGTGGCCCACGGTCCCATGTGGTTTGGCCGCATGGGGCCTTCATCGTACACAGATGTTCTGGGGACACTGGGCCCCCCTCCTGCGTGGCAGCGATGGGGAGGGGCTGTGGGCAGCTAAGCAGACATGTGCCCCTACATTGTCACGTACCTCGTTATTCTAGAGTTGGCCTGTTTCACTCATTTATTTTACCTGCCTGCCCCCAAAGTAGTGAATTTACCACCAGTATTGTTTTTAAAGGAAAGCACCCCTTAAACCTCAACATAGAAAAGGGAAAGTCAAAACAGAGCCGCTCTGGGTGAAGGAGGGCACCTCAGCCCTACAGCAGCCCTGGCTCCACAGGGCTCTGCGGTCAAGGTCACTACCCAAGTTATTTGAGAAATCAAACTGCACAATCTTCGTCCTTACTTCTCCCTCACTGTGTCCTGAGGCCACGACCACCCGGCGGCAGCCACACACCCAGGGGCCCTAGCGCACGGCTGGAGCAGATGGCGCTTCACTCAGCCTTTTCTATTTATAATTTCTTGGAGTTTTCTGGCCCCTGAACAGTGAATGGCAAACCTTTCTATTTCTTTAGGACGCAGCTTCCTCCCTTCTTTCTTCCTCCCCTTCCCAGGATAGGAAACAAAGGTGCCTGGCTCCAGGTCACAGAGCAGATCAGCACTTGGGGCCGGGAGGGAAAGCCAGGCGTCCGGCTCTGTCTCCTGGGGGATGGCAGGACGGCCACCTGGGTCCCCTGCCCCTCGAGGGACGTGCAGGAAGCGGGCTCGGTGTGTTTGGTAAACTCGCCCGCCCCGAGAACAGGGAGGGATGCACTCATCCTCAGACCATCGGAAGGCACCTTGATTTTATTTTGCATTTTGAACATTGAGTACCTACTGTGCGCAAGGCACCCCATGGGGCACCTCACTCACATGATCTCATTTACTCCTCAGAGCAGCTCGGCAAAGTGTGTCCCGGTGACAAAGGCTCAGAGGAGCAATGTGACTTCCCCCAAGTCAGGCAGCAAAAGGATCAGGGCGTGGGCTCGACTCCCGACACGCCTGCTGTTGGCAGAGTTCTTTCACGTGGGACTGTGGCTCCCTGGACGTGGCTAGCAGCTTTGCCGCCAGCACTCGGGCAGCTGACGCCGAGGCTGGGCCCCGAGCCTTTGTCCTTCCCTACGCGGCCTCTGTCCATTGCAGGCCAGGGGGCACTCAGAAACTTCCCTCAGGGGAAGGCTTGTCCTTGCTCCTCACTCCGGAGACAGAGTCCTACGGTCCTACCTTCTGAAACTTGCTCAGATCTTAGTTTTCCCCTTGCACCACCTCCACTGCTACCAACTCAGCCCCAGCCAGGGCCATTTAAAACACAAATTGGATTCTGTTACCCATCCGCTCAGCATCCCCTCCGTGCCCGCTATGGTTTCCAGGCTCACTCAGTGAAATCTGTATCCTCACTGTAGCCCACGATCGAGTATTTGATCTGGCTTTATCTGGATGACCGTGCTCAGCCTGATTCCCAGCCTCGTAGCCACGTACCTCGCACCCCGGGGCCTTTGCACTAGCTGTTCCCTGTGCCTGTGACCTTTCCCCCTTAATGCTCTGCAAGTCTCTGCCCAAATGGCACCTTATTAGGCCTTCCCTGAGCACCCTGCGTGGACGAGCACCCACTCTCATTCCTCTGTCTTTTCTCTTATGGCTTTGGTTTTTTCAAAGCCTTGATCGCCACTTGACATTTATCATCTATTCCCATGTAAATCGTTTGTCACCTTTCATCTGGCCTGTCAGCTTCATGAGAATAGAGACTCTGCTTTATCCCCTTCTGTCCTATAGCCCAGTGATCAGAACAGTACCAGATGCCAGGGGTGTGTGTGTGCGTGTGTGCGTGTGTGTGTGTATGTGTGTGCGCACGTGTGTGTGCATGTGCATTAGGAGTGGTCCACATCCTGGCCCCGCTACTCCTCAGGGCAAAGGGAAGAAGCAGCCCCGTAGCCTCTTTTCACCGAAAACCAAACAGTCCGTGTCGTGCACCGAGTTGCCCGCGCTCCCTCTCGCTCTGATACCAGGGATTTTGCTCATCCCGCTGTGAAGGAGGGAGGAGACAAGGTGGAGGCAGATATTGCAATTTCTCTCTCCGAGACTAAAGATCTTAATGAGGTTAGCGATACTTGGCACCGAGCACCTTGTACCTAAAACCTTACCCCAGGTTTAACAGGCATCAGCTCCCTGCACTTTGCCAAGCCCAGCCTGCCAGGTAGGTCAAGAAGTTTCTTTCTTGCATCAGGTCCAGCTGCATGGGAACTTGGGCACCTGTGTGTTCCTCTGTCCCTCTCTACCCATGAAAATGTCAATGGCGGGAAAATAAGACACAAACAAAACCAAACCCCTCTTTTTAAAGGCAGCCAGATGGAGGAGTCTGCTGCACTCCAGACTCTGTGCTGGCTTTATTGGTGTTATTGGATGGCACATAATGAGGGTGGGCAGCCCACAGTGAAACCTGCAGCACCTCTGATCAAGGCTCTCGTGATTAACGAGCAGCAAGGGCGGGCTTTTCACGCCCCGTGGGTGTTTTGGGCTTCAGACTGAGGTTTCATTGAGCTTAGGATCAAGTGATTCTCAAGTCCAAGAAGTTTCCAGAAGCAGCTCCGAGTGTCCAATCTGGGCCCAGGCTTCTCATACTAGCTGGGGGTTTCATCCACCCTGCCCCCTGTGCAGACTGAAGCTGTAATAAAACACAATAGAAATAAATGTCCAGGAAAGTAAACTAAAAGACATGTGAAACGCAAGCCAATTTTTTTTCTTATTATTAGATTAGATAGGCATTGCTATGGAGTTGTTGCTGTTTTTAAATTTCTGAAATTTCTAAAATTAACTTGTTGTGACCCAGTAACAGTCTGCAGACCACGCTCTAGGGGGCCGTGGCGCAGCGGCCGAGGGCAAGTGGCTGGAACACAGGGCCCCCAGTTCCAGGCCTGGCTGCTTCACAGGCTAGTTGTGCAACTGGGACAGATCATTTCACTTCTGTGAGCCTGTTTCCTCGTCTGTAAAACAGAAATGCCTCCCCTAAGGGGTGGTTGTAAAGACTGAATGAGATTTTCTCTCTCTTCATGTCTATCACGGAGCCTAGAAAATCTCAGGGGCCGGGAGGAAAAGCCCTCTGGGAGGACAGCCAACGCAAGCGCCTCTCTTTGGCCATAAATGAGGGGTGCAGAGCAGTGTGCGTTTTTAGATGCCTGATCGGGATTGTCTGGTTGTTGAGAGAGACTGATGACACGTAGCTGGGCTTGGAGCCAAGAAGTGCAGGGACCCCCATCTCCTGCTGCCTCCACGGCCTTCCCGAACCTTCCTGGCCTCCCTGTTCCAGTTAGGGAGCCCTTCCGAGCCGCTCCCATTT